TAAAAGCTAAATAAAATTACCCCAAAAAAGGGAAGTGATACTTTTCTGACTTCATACCCTAATCCCTGTGGGTGCCTACTGATTGGGGGAGTGTTCTGAGCACCTGTATAATGATCACAGGCGGTCACAGCCCATGGTCCTTCCCATTTTTCATACTGCCTAAGCCTTGCTGGCCTCCTTTCTAGTCCTTGAACATACCAAGGACACTCTGTCTCAGGGCTTTTGTGTTGCTGTTTCCTTTTCCTGGGACTCTCTTCATCCAGGTATCTGCATGGCTCCCTCCCTGACCCCTGTGTCTTTCTTCAAATAATTCCTCAGGGAAACCTTCCCAGAGCCCCCAGCTTTTCACCCACTCTCAGTGATCTCTACCTCCTTCTTGGTTATATTTTTCTCTGTAACGCTTATCACCGCTAAACATCGTGTGTGTGTGTGTGTGTGTGTGTGTGTATTTGTGTGTGTGTGTGTGTGCGCATGCTTTTTTTCTCATTTAGTTGCATCTCTCCCCTCTTCCCTCACTAAATACAAGGGCAGGAATATTTTACTGTTGGATCCCCAATGCCTAGATCCTGTGCCTTGCATACGGTAGGGGTTTGACAAACTAAAGGAATGAGTCTGAAAGATCCAATTACAAATTAATCTACAAAGAAGTGATATTCTGACAAATCAGATTTATAAGTAGAGAATGGCTGCCTTAAAATATTTGAATTCTTTGTCTGTACCAGTACTCTGAGATATTATCATTCTCCTCGCTTCACTACTTACTGGTAAGTAACCTCTAGAGATTCGATGCGAAATAGACATAAAGGAGACAACCTGGTTTATATTATGGGACCACAAACAGCACTGACTTAAAAAAATAAAATTATAAACAGCAATTAAGTCAAATGTCCTGATCCCTTGGTAGCCAGCAATATTTGCTGCTGCAATTTTTGGTTTTTCTTGCTTAGACCTAGAATTTGAGATGCATATAAAAGAGAACAGAAGTGCTTATTGTTGTTGGAATAGCAAAAAGACAATTAGGGGACATGGATAGAGCCTCACATATCTTAGAATTGTCTGATTGGCTGTGACAGCTTCAGATGAGAGAGACAAAAAAGACCCATATGTTCCTAAACGGTTATTAACTCAGGTACATAGGTGGAGCGTGCCTCCATCAGAAAGATTTGCTCACAGGGTCCGTTTGCACTGAAGTGTAGTTATTAGGAAAGTGCCGCTTCTGCTCTGCAGACGCCAAGGCCCTGTCCTCAGAGGTTAAGGTCTCATCTGATAAGAAGCAGTCAAGAGGAAACTGAAAACCTAAAGGGACTTGGTATCATCAAAATGTGGCATATAAATATGATGCCAATACTTATTCCTGGAGTTTATTGCAGATGAAAACAGCTTGCTAAAAACACGGTCCTCACGGTCCTGTAGTCAAACCACTTCATCTGCCAAGTGATGGGAAATGCCCTCCTCTCTCACTTGACTTTGAACATCTTTTCACCTGCCTTGTTATTCTTGTATTCTGATATTGTCATAGTTTGAGCAGATTCTGGTTAATACCAGGTGTGTGTTTGTGACATAGTCGGTCCTTGCATTTCAACACGTTGTTTTCCTGAAGACTGCGCCTTAAGGTAGATTGCCATAAAATGAAATCTGACTGGCTGTACACTGTTGTCAGTATTGATTCCGATTTCGTGAGAAATTGTGAAATGAGTAAAGTGCTGAAAAGTGATGAACAGTATGTTGGGGTTTAGCCAGGTAAGGCAGAGGAGGGAGAGTGCAAAATAGCAAAAAGCAAAGGTTACTAATTCTTGATCGAATGTCTACATTAGATAAAAGTGGTGAGTGGATGATGAAATGCTTTGTAATGTGCGTGATGCCAGTCTTAAACAAGTAAGCAAGTCTTTCTTTGAACATTGTTTACTTTATTTTGCCTTTTTTGTTTCTATCAGGGAATACCCATCTTTTAGTACTGAAATGCCTAGCATATAATAGATGCTCAATAAACGCTTTTTGAATTGAAATCATAAAATCCCCTAACCTTTTCTTCAAAGATGACTATCAAAATTTTTACTCATGCTTGGAATATTATGTTTTCATGGCTTTATCTTTAATGAATACAATCCAAATTCTTAAATAGCTATGTGAGAAAATTCCAAGTGTGATATAATTTTAAATTTCAACGTACATCTTAAAAGCTGGTTTCTGACATGTAGCTGTCTACATTCACTCTCATGGTTGGAAAAAAACAAGACATTAAATGTTTTTCTTAAATTGATTCGGATATGAAAAGGGATATGAGTCCAAATAAAAGGTCAGATGATTAAGCTTAAATAGAATAGTAACACTAGCTAACTTTTATGACATTTATTGTATGCCATGAACTGTGCTCAATGCTTTACAAATATTAGCTTACTTCAACCTCTTAAAAATGGTTTAAGGTAGTGACAGTGATTCTCTCTGGTTTATAGGTGAGGAAACTGAAGCTTAGAGAGATTAAGTAATGAATCCAAGGTCAGACACTGACATTTAAACTCAGGCATGCTGGCTTGAGCCAGTGCTTAACCACCGTGCATATTGCACAAACCAAAACAAATAGAAACACAGTTACATGGAATGATAATTAAAGTGTTAGGTCACATTATTATGAAGATCCAGGTCTTTTGTTCTAGAAATTGCACTGTAGCTTAATAACGGTAATTAAACTTTGAAGCTACTTTTGATTTCACAGAGAGAAAATGTGTAGCATAGACATAGTTTTACATCATTTAAGAAATTGTCTGATTAAGAGTTGTAATATCAGGGGGAAAAAAGGTCTGTGAGAGCTCCCACACTCACGATCAGTTCTTTGCTGAGGCATAAAGATTGCTAAACGGTGCCCCTTTCATTCAATCCCTCCTCTTCTTTTTTACCTCTGGGACTACTGTCTCAGGTGAGCATCTCCACTTGGACTGATACAGAAGCCTCTAAATGGTCTTCTCACAACCTGTTCGTTTTCCACACTGCTGCCAGAGGTACCTTCACACCAACCAACAAAAATACAGTATCTCTCTCCTCTTTATTAAGAACAAAGAGATTGTTCCTAATTTTATTTTGAGTCATACATGCCACTGATAACCAATGAAAGCCATGAACCCTTTCCCAGTTTAAAAAAAAAAAAAACAATACACACTACCCATTATTCTCTGGCATTGCTCATTAGGGATTTCAAATATCTGTCGTCAGTTTGCTTCTTCACCTGATATTCCACCATTTATCTCATCGTCTGTACTCTGGCTCCATTACACTTCTTACTGTTTCTCATGCTTGGAATAGCCTCCAAGTTCTGTCTTCTCATCACTCTTAATTATCTGGGGTAGGATGCTGAAATAGAGGAAGGCCTTATGATGTGTCTGTCATAGAAGGCCCAGGATTCAAACCTCATTATATAAGCTTGGGAATGGTACTTAACTGATTAGAATCTCAAGTTCATCACTGGTAGAGAGAGGGTGATAACATAATTTTACAGAGTTTCTTTCAAGATCAAATGCGGTAGTGGGTGTAAAGGGCTTGGCACTCAATAAATACATGTTCCTATCTTCAACCCCTGATGGATCCTCCTCACATTTTATCCCCATTCCCCACTCCAATGAATGGATTTGTGGTTTTACTCTCTGTGCCCCCAGATCACCCAGGAGTGATACCTCTAAACTTGTAGGCTTGTTGGGTATTGATTTACTTCTTGTCTGTTTCTCCCTCTAGCCCAGTAGTACCTGACCCGGTTGCATACTTAAATAACCTGCAGAGCTCTTTAAAAATTCCACTGCCTGATCCAATCAAGTCTGAGTCTCTGGTCTGGTACACAACTGTGATTTTTAAAGTGATTCTAGTGTACAAGCCTAGACTATAGACCCCTTGAGAGCAGGGATGCATCAGTGAAGCCCCACTGCCCCCATGGAGCTGGCACCCAGTGGACGTTCAGTGAATGCCTGTAGAGTGAATGAATGAGTGAATGAATGAGTGAATACATGTATGACAGCCAGTTATCCAGGCCTTCCGAACATATATTTGATAAACTTTAACCCATTTAATTATGAAAATGTGACATTTTAACATATTCTTAATACATTTATATTTATACATTGGTAATCAATACCTAAGTGGGTAAAGATGCACTTTAAATTTTCTTAAAATCTAGATATTGCTTCAGGCAACTTTCTATCTACACATTTTTATGTTTAGTGTTTTTTTTGTTTTTTCTTTCATGCCTTTGGGTCCGAAAGTCATATGGGCAAGGTAGTTTTAACCTATAAATCTCTTAAAGGATGCCTAAATACCTAGAGCTGAAATTAGCAGTCTACTTGACACTATTAAATTTCTTACTATGGAACTATTATATATAATCCTATCCCTTCTTGCATTTGTTTGGTTGCCTTCCTCTTGGAGTGTATATGCAGATTTATATTTAACCTTCCTGTGTTCTTTGTTTTTAGTGACCCATCAAAAATTGTGTTAGTTGTAAAAATATACACAGTACCTTGAGGAAAGAAAGGGACTAATGGCATTAGAAGCAGTGACTCTAGCAACTTGCTGAAATGAACTTTTCCCCATAATGGCTGGTAGTGCTTTATTTTCTGAATGCTAAATGGAAGGTAATATATAATAAAAGGTTTCTTTTCATATAGTAAATAGTGTCGGAACATCATGACTGATAAAATCAAGTTTCTCATCTAAATGTGAAAGATTTATAAGTTTATTTCAGTAGGATTCGATTTCAGGATGGCCTCTAGACACTAAGCTGGGTAAGGAAAGAAGATTCCTATCTTCTCTGATAAAGAGAATCATGACTTCATTACCTCAGTTCTGGCCTAGAAATTGAAATGTTATCAGCTTAATAAAAAGAAAGCAAATACATTACGAGATTGTCACTGTTGGGGGAATCTCACTGGTGGAAATGCACAGGCTGGATATTTTATTTAAATAAAAATGGTGGATTCTGGAACTATATTTAATTTCTCTACAGTGTTATTTTCTTGTAGGTAATCAGTTCTGATGCGGGGTCGACGGTTTCCTTCTGGATGATAGACACTGGGCAGAAAATCAAACAGTTTACTGGTTGCCATGGCAACGCAGAAATCAGCACAATGGCCCTCGATGCAAATGAGACACGGCTTTTGACTGGCAGCACAGATGGGACTGTAAAGGTGCGAACACAGTGACGCTTTTCTATCCAGATATGAGGGGGCTAAAATATTGTGTGAGGAGACACAGCTTTGGCTATATTTGTGTTGGTATTTTTGGCCTTTCAAGAAGAGAGATGAGAAGATAAGAAGAGCTAAATAACCCAAACCATCTAATAACAAAGCTGTTAGGAAAATAAACCTCTGAGGAAAAATGAATAAATGGTTTTTCTGAATAAATTATTTAGAATCAAAACACAACTTGGCTTACTTATTTCAGAAAGTCATAGAGGACCACTCTGGGGAATAAGAAGCCTGAATAATTTTCATGTGCTTCAGCTAATGTCTCTAGTTTTCATTTTTCTTTCTGTTTTTTTTTTTTTTTTTTTTGGTATACAAAATGAGAAATCAGGACAAGTAAGTAAACTTCAAAAATTGCATAGATGCAAATTTTTTGGAAAATGAATATTTAGAAGTTACCCATTTTGTAATCTGCATTTTTATGTGAAGGTAATAAGACAGTAAAGAAGGAAAGTAGGAAGAACAATCATAATTTTATTTATTATCCATCCTAAACTAACACTATTTCATCCTCTCAGCTTTTAAATTTTGTACCTATTATTAATTTCTTCTGGGAGGAAAGTGGTATTTTACTTTGCAAAGGTGATCAAAATTTCAGGCAAAACTAGATACTTACAATCTGAAATCATGCTTACCAGTGAATCTTCTCTGTTCTTCTCAGCTTCAAGAGAGATGACAGTGTTGGATGAGAGATGACTTGTGACAGTCTGAGGCAACAGAAGGCAGTTTCTTGAATAAGCTTTGAATGGTTCTCAAATTTCTGTCCTAACTGGGGTCAGAAGGCTGTTAATTAGATGTACCTTCTGTGTTAGGTTGTAAGATGCATTCAGGTAGGCTGCATGGGAGGGTAGTGGAAAGCTACCTAGATATGTAGGTAGAACATTATGGAAGTTGGGGGCAAGTATTCTGGGAGATTCCAGGCTGCAAAAGTCAGTGTGAAGCATGTTGCAGTGAGAATCTCTAGAAATCAGCAGAACGTGGCCTCTGGGAAGGGTAATGGCATGAGGTATGGACTGGGAGAATGTGTTTAAGTAAAGTAATCTAGTTCATGGGAGAACTGGTAAAATGTGGGAAGGTAATGGGATAATCCCCATCCTAATAAGTCAAGGTAGAATAAAACAAGAATAACTGGAACTGGAGTATTAGACAGTGGCTTAGGCAAAAGGAACAAGTGAGAATCCCACTTACCAGTCCTTGGATACAAGGCTGAAGTGAAAAATGAAGGAATGGATTAGATTATTTTTATCCCTATCTTGGGAATAACTGGTCATAGAGTCTAGCGTAGGGCAGACTTGTAGATGGTTGCAAAAATGGTCCCAGCTAAGGGTCACAGCTTGATAGGATCTGGAGACAGTCAGGTCTTTACAATACTTTTTTGTGGGTATTATTTTAGGTGGACTTGGTAAGAGCCATATTTAGAGGAGAAAAAAGTGATGTGGGTGAAGAGCATGTATACCCCTCAGTGTCTCAGCTCAAGCCTTGACATGTTAGAAGTTAATGTGAATTTAGTATTACAGTCACAGCTTTTGGAGGTACATTTATCTTTATCACAATAGCACAACAGAATTCTGAACTTTGACAATTTCAGTGTAGGTATGTCGGATGCATAAATCAAGGTTGAGCTGCGCTGGCCATATTCTGTGAAGAAACAAGAATGAATGATATTTTCCAATCTCATTTATAATTTAGAATCTAAAACCCAGTACCTATGCAATCAAAGATTTAAAAGTATTGCCCTATTTATTACGGTTTTGAAGTGTCTGTTTTTAAATTAATTGTTTTGAATAATGTATGCACACAATAAGATTTTAAACATAAAAGGGATATACAGTGAAGAGAAAGTCTCTTTCTTACCCCTGTTCCCAGCTCCTCCATTGTGGCTACCAGTGGTACTAGTTTCCTGTACATCTTTCTAGACCATGAGCACCATTTTTTTCTCAGTGGCAGAGTCCACTGTCCATGCTGCTCTGCATTTTCCTGTATTGGACATTGATTCATATGAATGCAAACAACAGCAATAATGATGTTAGTTAAATTTTATCGCATGGTTACTATGAGCCAGGCACTGTGCTAAGCACTTTACACACACACACCTCTACATGGTTGGTACTATTATTGTACCAGAGGAGGAAACTGAAGCCCAAGGAGATAAAGCAACTTGCTTTAAGTTTCCATAGCTGGTCGACTCTGGGCAAAGCTTGGACACTTGGAGGTGACTCATTCTTCTAAATAGTTACATTATATGCTACTGTAGATATTCCATATTCTGATGTTCAGTCTCTTGTTAGTGAGCAATTAAGTTGATTTAAATCTTTAGCTTTTGTAAACAAAGCATCCAGAATATCCTTCAAAATATGTCATTTCATACATATGAGTGTCTCTGTGTGATGATTTTCTAGAAGTTGAATTTTTGAGGCAAAGTGTATATGTGTTTTAATCTTGATAGAAGGTGCCAACTTGCTCTTTGATGATGAACCAATAATGTTTCATAGCAGGGCTTAGTTTTAACTGCTGGTGACCTAATGACCTTCTCTCTTAAAGTATACCCATCAGGTCTACGTCCTCAGCCACTGCCCGAGGAGGTAAACTGGAATTGCTTGTGCTTCTGTGGGCTCGGGTCTGGCACGCACTGTCAACAGGAGGTTTTATTGGCAGAAGATAGGAAACCTAGGACGTGATGCTCTGTATTAGATGTTTAAAATTCCAAGCATGCCTGAAGAGTAAAGGTCCCGTGTCATAAATGAGGAAACTAAAATTTAGAAAGACACTTTGAGAAAGAACCAGGATTTTGACAGACTCCAAAATGTGGCTTTTCATGATTTTGTATTGTCTCCCCCTAAAAAATATACACTTATTTATAGCCTTTGAATCAACAATATTAGAATAGACTGGTAAGGTTACAAAATGAGTAATAGATATAATAGCTAAATTCAAATGGTGAGAGGATTTTCTTTAATTATTATGTATCTCAAGTGAATCGACCCTAGTCCAGGATGTAAACAAAACCGTGTAAAATAATCCTATTACACTCTGTTAATGTACTCATTGAAGAAGACGTTCTCTTTTCTTGTCTCAAAGCTGATTTTACTATTTCTCTTGAAGGTCTGGGACCTCAATGGCTATCGTCACCACACACTTAACTGTTGGGCAAGAGGGAGCTGTGGATATTTCACACATCCTGGTTCTTAAGAAGAAAATCCTGGTTACAGGCTGGGACAGGTATGATGTGCTTCATGCAAAACTGTAGGAAGGTAAAAGGAGAAAGTTTTATTTAAATCAAAATCTAAAGGGAAAAAGAACATAGAAATCCTGACTGATTCTGCGTCTTTAACTCGCTGGTGACCTAGGTGAGTGAAATTCTATTTGGAATTGACTGAATGCTTGTGAATAAAATATTCTATGATCACGTAGTTTGAGTGGCTTTGAGAAGTGTTTCATTGCTTTCTCCTGGCTTTGGGAATCTTCTTCTTTAACCATTCCAGATAGAAACATAAAACCACTTCCTGGGGATTAAATCCAAAAGTTTCCCAAATTTTATAGTCAATAAATTCTTAATGTATAAATTGCATTCCTTCAACTGTAAAAGGAACTCATTCCTTCTTCTCTTGTTACTTAGTTTAAATGACAGCACAAGAGGGGAACAGCCTGCTGAAATCTATGTTAGCACCTCCTTCATATCAGTGCAGAGAAGGGCCTTTCACAGCCCACTTACTGTTCTCAAGGAGCAATTTTTCCATTCATTATAAGGAAAATTACTTTTCTTTCCTCTTTTCCTGAGAGAACTAAGGGATCATAAATGGCCTTTTCTATGGCATTGTATAAGCACTAGGAAAATTAAAGTGTGATGTGTTTTGAAAATATATTGTCCATAAATTCGACAGTTCACAAAATATTGCTCTAATAGGTAATTTGCACAAGATTATTCACTATAGAAATATGATCTTAATGGTTTGAAGTAGGACTAAATCAGATTTTATACCTAGAAAACCAGCAGTATTTATTTGGGGATTTTTATCAGTCATAGGGAAGGCTTTTGCCTAATGTAAATGTAAACACAGACTAGAAAATATAGTGACCCACACACACAGCTTAGTTTTCAGGGGTGGTTTGACTATAAGTAAAGAAAGTATAGTTCATTCATTATAGTTCTTAATAGGATGTATATTCTATGTGCTATTAAGAACTAATTTAATCATCCCCACCTTTGAAAGACACAGCTTCTTCTCATCCCTGGGAGCAATCATGATCCGTCCATGACTCATAACCACTCCAGCAGACTACGGCCTAATGATCTCTATAATTAGCCTATGGCAATGAATAAGTGAAGTTCTCTAATATCATGGCAGGGGAGATGTGTAATATACAGCTGAGCCACTTTAAATTTTGAACGTAACAAAAAAGAACTTTAAAACTTAATCAACGTTAGTCAAAACTATGGAGACACACCATTTTCTTAGTTATATTTTTTATACATCCATGGCTAGAAATAGCATCAAATGTGAGTTTTTTTAATTGGTTACAGGGGGACATTTTTAAAGATTAGATATATAGAGTCATTCAAAAGTGGTTTAAAAGAACACCCAATGATTTGATCTGTATTGGTGTGTTTTGCTGAAAGCCTTACTTTCGGTTTCAAGGTTAGTAGGATTCGCTGGCAAAATAACCGCTCTACACTCAAACAAGAATTTAGAGAGAGTTTATCGAATTAACAGAGATTACAGTATACTAATTAAGAAAAGAATAGTATAACTAACTAAGAAAGAATGGTAAAGACAGGTTTACACATCACTAAATTGGGGAAGCAGCTGCATCCAGACCCAAGCAGCGCTGGGAAGTCCCTTGAACAGCAATCTGGAGTCCCGTTTGGGAAGGTCCCAGGCGGTGCGTCCACTCCATTGCTGAGACTTCAGTTTGCCACTCAAAGGAGCCCAGCTTTTAGCACAGGCCACAGGCTGATAACGATCAGCCTACGTGGAAGTTTGCAGCTCTGGTTGTTGTCATAAATGCCTTGGTCTTAACTCTTAAGTCTGAGAATGTCCTTGAGCCCCGGGGGCTGACCAGACCCTCAAGGTGTAAGAAGTCCCAAGACTTACTCCCTGTCTTATCTAATGGTTTACAATGTATGCTGGTGCCACCCCTGCTGGCCTGGGTGTAGCTCAGCAGTTTGGCATGCAGCCAGCTTTAGCGTCATTGTCTGGTCAGAGAGAGGCCTAGTGCCACCTCTGAAGCCTGAACAAGACTACTTTACTAGCTTCCCCAACATGGTGGGTGGTCACTTTCTATAATCTTGGGGAGGAATTTTTGGGAGGATTGAAATGAGTGGAGGAAAACTTACCACTCCTCTCATTTTCCTCCATCTTTTCCATCTTCCACAGGGTTGTCAGGACTTGGATCCCTGTGGTTGGAATTGAAAGTTGAATGAATGCATTCTCAATTATATTGTTTTACTTTCATGTTGATGAATTTAAAAATTATATTTCCTAAGTAGAAGGTCTTACGTTAGGATGGATTTTGCAGGATCTTCGCAGGGTCGTTTTTTAACCAAGAGGCATTTAGCAAAAGAGGCAAGAGAACAGGTCAGTTTTTTGGTTCTGGCTTGGGGAGGATGGTCCATTAAGCCAACTCCATAATAGTTTAGTGATTTGAGAAGAAATAACTGGAAGATTGACCGTCAGCTTATTAAGCTTTCTTTAAGACCCAGAGGAGGTTGTTAAGTTATACTGTAACTTTAACTTTAGGCTCTATTTAAATAAAGAAATTGATCTGATAATTCTGCCCAAGATGGAACAGAAATTACATTTATTGAGTTAGGTGCATAAATATGCCATCCAATTTATTTTATTCATAGTGCTTTGTAGCATTACCCACTTTACGTACACTATCTAACTTAATCCTTAGCTTCCTCTCGGAAGGTAGGCAATATTTTATAGATATCTCAAATCTCTATCTTCAGCTCTGCTCTCTCTAAGCTCACTTATCCGTTTGCTTCCTGGATGCGTCGGACTGCAATCCCCAATTCTACATATTCTAAACTGAATGTATTATTCATTCCCTTTCCCCAAATCTGCTTCTTCTCTTAGATTCGGAGCTTCAGTTAATTGCTAGACACCCTGTTCATCCACCTTGGTTTTCCCTTCTCACTCAACTTCACAACCAAGTAGTCTCTAAGCCTTATCTATTTTATATTCTAAATATTTTTTCAAATCTGTTCCTATTACTACTAAACTGTATAATTCAGAGCATCATTTCTACATACATGAATGTCACAGCCTTCTTATTTGTCCTTTCCTCTAGTAATGCTTCTCTTTTACCTCTTAAATAGATTTGCTCATTTTAATGATTTCTACAGTGATTTCTTTCTACAATGCGATCTGTCTATGTCACTTCCCTGTTTAAAGCTTTTTAAAGTGTCTACAAGAAAACTCACGAAACGCCCTCTGGCCTGGACTTTTCTGAGCTTCATACTCACCCATTCTTGTGTACATTCCAAACTCAAATAACAACCTGCTCTCAGACTGTTTCCATACAAACCGTACTGTTTCTCAACCCCATGCCTTTATTCTCTCCCCTTACCTAGAACTCTCTCCAATATTCTTCATGTGGCTAATGTTTATTCCTATTTCAAGTCTCATTCATATATCTTCTCCATCAGAACCTTTCTCTTTACACCCAGGGTGGAAATATGCCCCCTTTTGTCTTTGTGTTATTTATTTTCCTGTACTTTATTTAACCTAAGAATATATATACTGAGCATTTAATAAGCATATATATATATATATATATATATATATATATATATATATA